AGGCTGGTTTATTTTTCAAAACCGAATGATTTCTGTCTTTCTTTTGAAATCGCCGGCTGGTCCCTGTGTTTCACGCCAGTGTCCTGCCTTTGAGCACATTGTGGACACGTTAAACCATAGAAGAGGAGGCCGTTGGCTCTGCCTGAAAAAAAGCACAGGTCCATTTAAAGCAATGAAATGGAAACGAAAAAAAAACCCGAAAAAAACAAAGCATGCCATTATCCTTCTCAGCTAATGAACCGCCATCAAGAGATTCCAGAGTTGACCGGCCAAGCTAGTTTGATTCTACTTTTCACTCTAATTAAATCAACTAAATCTCCACCGCACAGGCAGATAACTTTAGAAAATCCTGGATGAACCAGCAGCAGCTGATGCCCTCAAACTGAAATGGGACATTAAGTAATCAAGAAAACTGGGTGAGCTCTATGGAGCATTCATGGGCGTAAATTACATGTCTGGTGTGTGTTATTCTTTGGATAACACCCTGCAGTCTCTGGTGGTTCATCTTTGTCTCGATACTTGTCAAGGACGCACAGTATTTAGTTTTTAATAAGAAACGAAAGTACCCGAAACAGCTCCTTCTTTTGGCCTTTGTATTTTCATTCTCTTTACTCAGAAGGTAAAGGTAAAAAACAAAAAAAAATGCAGCTTTTGGTATTTTTAAGTCTCGATTTCCGGGCTACCTTAAGAGCCTCGTATCTTTGGTGTGGTTGTTTTGCTTTTCATTACATTTTTCGAGGCGGCATCGAAGTCAACTTTTTAAAGAAGGAGATGGAAAGTGGGCCGGGAGCAGGCGAGGGATGGAGGCAGGGGGAAAGTTGATTATAGACACAAGACAAACATTTCACACCATGTTCAAAGAAAATGAAGAAAAAGGGAACGAGATAGAAATCTTCAGTGGAAAAAACACCGGCAGATGCAGAGAGGAGCAGCTGGAGTATTTGGGGTCTCAATCGAACAATAATAAACCACACAAGTGAAATAACAAATTGTCGTCTACAGTGTTTACGCTGCTGTCGACTGTCTGCCTGACTCAAGTGTCTGTGCCTAAAACATTCTTCTTTCACTAGTAATCTCCTTCTCAAACACACATTTACTCACCTGCTGAAGAAGTTGAAGCAGGGACCCGAGGGCCTGGTGGCCATATCTATCTTTAATGTTGCTTAATTTACAATGCTGTTTTCCAATGACATGAAGAGAAAACCTCCTGAGACTGATTGTAGTCAAATGTTTAATGAGACTTGCAATTTGGCCCAGATTTACACAAATAGGATGTAAGTTTCCTCTTAATCACCTCAACTTTAATTGCAAACTGTTGTATTATAAGGGGAAACCAGAGCAGAGGAGGGCAAAACATCCTCACTTTTGTGCTCATCGTACGGGTCAAGCTCCAATTAAAGTAGGCAATAGATTTCCCATGATGCCTTTTAATATTCATTTATTAGTTTGTCCACTCCTGGTCTCCTCTGCCCCAGTTTGCAGTGACTGAATTGATAGTTATTGCATTAAAACCGATATTAATGGGAAAACATGGAAGAATAAAATTAGTGGATTGACCCTTTCAAAGGTATTTCAAACCTAATTTGATTTCATAAAAATAAATAATCATCCATTACAGTAATCGGTGAGTGTTTTATTTTTGCTTTTCCTTATCTTTGTGAATCAATCCAATTTCGCCAAACAGAGTTGAGAGTTCAAAATACAGAAACTGAGTATGGTTTTGAGATTTTATATGTCTCTGACTCCCATTTATTTTCAGGAGTCCCACAGCGGACAAAAGTGGACGCTGCTCTGCTTTGGGAATTCAGCAGTGACAACAGTACTCATAATGAATGTGCTACAGATGGATTTGACAGTCTGAATTGCAGCACATTCTCAGCATTGACACTTGAGGGGAACAAGTTCTTGAGCTAGCGCTTGTTATTCTCCAGCCCGACATTGTTTCCTCAAAAAAAAAAGGAACAAGACAAGGCGCAACTCCAGCAACTCAATTCTCTTCGATTAAGTTATTCTTGAGTTTCTGCTCAACTTTAAGTAGTAATGTCAGTCGTGCTGATGGAGATAAAGATGGATGACTGATGACTTTTAGGGCGAACATCTCTGAAAATGAAAGTTAAGATGTCAACTGTAAACAGAAGGAATGAGGGAATATTTACACACCAGCTTTATCATGTTTCAGACGGTTTAAATGACTGAATGAGTATTTCCTGTGCAGCAGGCATAACACAATGATCCATGTTATGACTAATGACAAGTCCAAGGTGTCACTTATCCCACTGCTGGATCTGTATGTAAATGCCTGGTGTGTGTGGTAGGAAATCAGCTGCAGGATTTCATTAGCACTGTTCATTTCTCAAAACCTTTCAGGAGAAGGGAATGCCAAACTAACAGGAAAAGATGTTACGGTGCCAAGATCTCCCCCTGCTGATTAAACTATGACTTAAATCATCTGATTAAATCTGTCAAACTTATCTGAGTCAGTACAATTCGGAAAACAGCTAAATTCTTCATTTTATAAGCCATCGCTGAAAATATCACCACTCAGGTTATCTGAGCTTGATTTATTTCTGTGTTATTCTGCAGTGGAGTGAATAGAGAACTAAGAGTGCATTAATGCACAACTTATCCCAAACTCGTTAATCTTTTTTCTGATCTTACCATTTATATTTCAATAACCTTTGGGTTGTGTTGAATCAAAAAGCACACCCACATCTAACTAGAATGTTTTCTGCTCTTTTTAAATTCCTGGAGTAGTAGTTGACTTATACTGAGGGAAATAGTATAGTTGCTTTGGAATCTATGGAAGTGGTTAATAAAAACACATCAGCACAGACCCTTCATCAGGGAAATCTGACCATCCGTCTCCATCTTTTTCATTCTTTTAGCTGTTTCTGGGCTTTCTGTCTCTGATTCAGCCTCACCTTCTCTCCTCACATTTTCCTCTTCTTCATCTCATCTTTCTCTAATCTTTATTTACTAAAATGTCTTTCTGTTACCACTGTTACATTTCTTCTCCTTTTTCTATCTTCTCTATTTTTTGTGTTAAACATTTTCTGTTGTAAAAACTGAAAATATAAAGAAAAAACATTCAGATTTCAGATCCAAATAAGGAACTCTGATGTTCCAGATGTTGCAGCGGGGGAAAAAAACAAAACAAATCAATTAGTTACTGAAGATCAACCAGTCACACCAGTCATCACAGAAAACTAGTGCTGATTCCATTGATGTCCAATATGTCGTCTAGTTCAGTCCAGTATATACACAGAAACAGACGGGAGGTAGAAGATTCATGCATTCAGCTTTTTAGAAGGAAAGGAAAAACTTTTCTGCAAGCAGAACAGGCTACATCCACCCACAAAGTCAAACAACACAACCCGATGTCCCACACAAAACAACCGGACAGGTTCCTTCCAGTAATTTGACTTTCCAGTCTCCTGCCGGCTATAATCCGATTGACTCTGTTTTCTGTCGGAGACAGATTTTAAGAGAGGACATCAGATTAAAGTTAACACCGTTTGCCTCTCTGTTTCCTACACACAGGCAGAACGCCAAAGAAAATGTGTTCGTGGACAGAATGGAAATACACAAGCACACGATGCACTGATAATGACTAAACCCACTAAGGGTGGAGCGGAGACACTGTGTGTGCACGGATTCCTCTTCTCTTCAAACCGCACACGGACGTAAAAAGACCCGGCACGATGACCGAGGAAGCAGCTGCTGGACACAAATCAGATATGTTCTATGAATTTGTCATCTGTATGTGTGAGCGTGTGTTTGTATGCTTAAGCCCATATGCGCTCGCCTTTGTTTCTCACAGGCTGTGAAGCACTTGCGCTAAAGTTAAACAGTGCAGACACATGGAGGCCGCCTCCTCCATCATCCTCCCAACTTGAAGGAATGGAGAGCACAAACACAGCCTTCAACTAAATCACCACCGTCAACAGAGCTCCTGCTGGGCAGAAAAATACAGACTGCTGCACTTCTATTCGGGTGTTCTACATTTTTTGTATAAATTTGTATAAATATTTGTATAAATATTTGCCTGAGGCTTTTGCAAGGTCTTTTTATCTTTCTAATTTCATTTCTTATCATTTTTTTTCCTCTTAAGACCTAAAGAAGAGAACAAGCTAAAATATAATATTATTTCATATAACTACTATAAATACTTGATGCTTAAATATTAGTATTCCTTTGAAAAACTATAGAAATGATGGCTGGTTACACTAACTAACTTTCGGCCTACTTTTACACTTTATTGTTGCTTGTCGGTCACTCCTACGTTCTGCATGTTTTTCTTTATTGTCACTCTGCTTATCTAGGTCCTACATCCCTTCATATACACCATTTATGACTTAATGAAGTTTAAGAACTATTTCTTAGACACAAATGTTGAGTGTGAGATACCATCTGAACCTATTATTTAAAACATATTCAACATTGCATTACCACATGGTGGATGAAACAGAGAAAAGCAATGATCAGACATAATAAATGATTGTCTATTGTTTCTCTAAAACCTTCCAGCTCCCGAACAATGTAGCCGAATATGCACGCTAAGATATAACACACAATTTCATGCACTCCTCAGTTCAGCACATTCTATGTCTTTTTTAAACTTCTGCAGTGACGCTTTCCTTTTTTTTTCAAGGCACGAGATGTCAAGCAGCACAAATAAACCAACAAACACACTGGATAACAGTTGAGGCAAGAATCAGAGCGGTGCAGATCAATCTCTGTTTGAAAGGAATATAAAAAAAAACGATCTGTGATTCCTACCTGCTGCTTTGAGGCCCTAAAACACACACACCCACGCGCTGATGTTATTTCAAAAACCCATTTACGCTCACTCATATCACACATGTGGTTGCTGTTATTGACAACAAAAATAAAGTTGTTTTTATTTATCTTTTTATCATGGTCAGATATAAAAAAAATAAACCAGCTTTTCGGTTGCTGAAGTCACCGGGGGCTGCTCTAAGTGTGGCGGTGCTGTGTGTTTACCTCAGTGCGATGGAGGTCCCGTTGACGGAGGCGGCTGAGCACACTCTCTGGGTGTGTCCGTAGGAGCAGCTGCCCTGCCGCGCGTAGCGCTCGTCCCCGCAGCAGAGGATCACCAGGAACGCCCGCCGAAAAGCGCGGTTCAGGAAGGCGTACAGGAAGGGGTTCAGCCCTGAGTTGATGTACCCCAGCCACAGCCAGGCTGTCCACAGCTGCCAGGGCACCGAATAGTGGATGAAAGGGTCCACCACGTTGGTGATGAAAAACGGCGCCCAGCACAGGCAGAAGCAGCCCATGATGATGGCCAGGGTCTTCGCGGCCTTGGTCTCGATGCGCATGCGGCTGTTGCCCGCGGGAGCGTGCTCTGAGGAGGAGGAGCCCGTGGTGGTCCTGAGACGGTAATGCTCCAGCGGGTCCGAGGAGGTGGAGGACCTCAGGATGACCACCGGGTCGGTGCCGGCGACGGGGGCCGAGCCGGCGCGCTGGAGCGTCTCGATCTGCCGGACGTGGGTCATGGCGGTGACGTAGATCCGGCGGTAGGCCAGGACCATGAGGGCCAGCGGGACGTAGAAGGCCACGGCGGAGCAGATCAGGGCGTACGGCCGGTTGACCAGGAACACGCAGCTGGTGTCGTTGGAGCCTCCGGCCAACGCTCGCCTCTCCGCGATCTGCAACGGGAGGAGAAGCAGACACGTGGAAGGGGGTCGGCATAGCTGGGCATTATCGCGGAGAATTTGGAGAGACCCAGGGCTTAAGTAACCGGGTTCCCCCCGCTTCCAGCATTTAAACTAAGCCAGCCCAATGGAGGGGAACATTCTAAATAATAAGAAAATAGTTTTCAATATCCTATTCCACTAAAAGAGTTTTAGTCTGTCTGGCCGGTTGAGTTTAACTTTGTCCTGATTCGAAACCGTGAGAAGCTCAAAGTAGATGAAATGTGCAGGTGGAGTCGAGCCTGAAGCTAAAGCTGAGCTTCATTTTATTCATTATAAGTTAGTGTTGGGTGGAGTATGATAGAACAATGTTGGATTCTGGATGTTGGATATAGTTTATCAAAATTTCACTTCATCTACATTGCAAATGTTGTCATTTTTAGTTTCATGACACTTTTTAAATTTGTAAAATATAGTTGCATAAGGTTGAACCAAAAAACCAAAATTGTGTACTTGGTGTCTTAGCCTGAATTAACTCTTGTGAGAAAGTTTCATTTATAAGCAGACCACAACGGTGACTTCATCTCTCTCATTTTATCTGCATTGATGATGACATAAGAAAGTGAAACCTGGACTGAAAGCCACTCCAATTTTCTGGGTGAAACTTAAACCCAGCCACCAGAGTAGGAGCCCTGTTTTTGTGGATGCTGCTTGGCTGAGAGACAGAGCAAACAGCTGTGCATCCCATTAAATCTGGACGGATGAATCTATCTATCCCATTCTGCCTCCGGGGGCCCTGCTGCATGGCTCAAGGTAGCTCTGAAATAAGCCAACGTCAAAATATGTCCACGCCAGAGGAACCTGTTTGTTAACGTGCTATCTGTGCTTGCTGATTGTAAACCTCCACAGGGATCACAATTGTTGTTTGATCACCGATTTACTGCCACAGGATATGTGATTAGACAGAGAGATAATTGGGTTGGAGGGGTTTTTCTATGATGTTTGGAGAAAACATAACTGTCTGGTATTTAATGAGCTCTTCACTGTATTACACAGAGAATTCAGCTTGAGGCAGAATTGTTACGGAATTCTACCCAATAAAGACCTGCGACCTGCTGCCTACACTGGCCCTGAAGTACAAACTAAATCAACAAATCACTAGTCACAACTAAAAATCTAACAACACAACATATCCAAAATACTAAGGGATCAAAAACACATTGATATTAACTTAGCACAATGACAAATTGCAAAATAAAAAATAAAAATCTGGTCCAATAGCCAAAAGTGGCCTCGTCCAATCAGCAATTTCTCAGGTTTCCCACTGGGACCTACCTCTTGTTAATCCAGTGTGTTTTCCTAATTTGAAATTGTGCATTATTGCCGCTGTTTTTTTGTAAGATGTTGTAGTGTTTTGGATATGTCGGTGTGTATTTAAATTTGTAGTTGTGACTACTGATTTGTTTACGTGGTTTGAGCTCCATGGCCACCGTAGGCTGCCCTTTTCCTTCCATGGTTTCTGATCTTCGCTATACTATACTATACTCACAATGTCTTCGATCCCGATGGCATTCCAGCTTTGCATGATGGGTAGGAATGAGATGAATGTGGGGATAATCCAGCAGCCGCTGAGCATGAAGGCCACCCTGACCGGGGTCATCTTGTGCCTGTAGACCAGCGGCTGGCAGCAGATAGCGTAATACCTGGGGCAACACACACACAGACTTGCACACATGCTGCACAGCGATACAGTCGACTTGATTACTTACTGGTATTTACCTAGAGCTTTGTCGATTGATTGCATTAGACTGTTGAAATCATGGAAAGACCAGACCATCACATTTAGTTATTTTGCAACACCTTTATTTTTGCACCATTTTCTTCATTTCTACTTCATTTTCTTTCCTCCATAGAATGGCATTGTGTGTCTCTCCATGTTTTTGTTCTTCTCAACACCACAGCTAAATGTAGTTCAGATCCTACGTGGGACCAACCTGTCCAGCGCAATGCAGCAGAGGTGCAGGATGGACGCGGTGGTCAGTAAGACGTCCAGAGATGTTCGCACCAAGCAGAAGATCTCCCCGTAGCGCCACTGGCCGGTGGTAAGCTCGATGGCAGCAAAAGGCATCACGACCAGCGCGACCAGCAAGTCAGCAAACGCCAGCGACACGATGAAGTAGTTTGTCTTTTTCTTTCTGAAAGGAGACATAGAACATGATCAGCACACGTCCTCTGTCAACTACCTCCCTCCACAGGTGCCACGGCTCAGCCTGCCAGCTGTTCAACTCTGGAAGGCTAACAAATGGAAGCGGGTGCTGTGTAGATTTTGTGATCAGTAAATGAGAACTGAGAGATAATCTTATTTCTTTAAGCGTCTACTGAACATTTCTTCTTTAAAATAGTTACGTTTCAGTTATCATATACCAATCTACCGTCATAGTCAGTCGGAATTCTCTAGATTTTGGCATTTGAACTGTTTATTCCAAACGTCTTGGGTGCTGTTTCACTCTGAAACTGGAAAGTGGAAAAAAAAAAAACTTTCCGACCACTCGTGATCTCACTATACTCCAAATGCCAGTCCCTCAATTCTGCCTCATGTCTTCAGTGATATGATGTTTGAAAGTTCTGGGCATTTTTCATTGTAGCATGTTGCATCTGATGGACACAAATTCAGAGTTCAGAGTTGTATCCAGATTCTCTTTGATGCACAGACTTTTCTTCACATATACAGACTGGTAGGTTTAAAAGACAACAGGCTCACCTGAGGTGCCTGTCCTTGCAGAGTGCCACCATAACCAAAAGATTGCCAAACACTGTCATGATAATAATGATGGAGAGGAAGATGGTGAGAACAATGGTCTCCAGGGAGTTCAAGAATTCCTGCTGCTCCTCTTGCTCCTGCTGTTGATATCCAGTATTTCCTATGTCATCCAACAGACTGTGAGAGAAAGAAAGCAAACAAAATAGAATAAAATGAACATGGTCTAATCTTGGGCCAGAATATTGCCAGAATATTCTTATTTTCATTCTTGTTATTTGAATTTGGTATATTTTTGCATCACATGAAGAAAAGAAGAGCTAATGGGATAGCATGTAACAAAAGAGCCATCCCCTTTTCAAACAAACGTAAATCATCACTCCTCCAGCATCACGCGTGGACAGTTGATGTGGGGTGCCTGTGCTTCACTCCTGTGTTTTCCTTTCACCAGATGTGACCCCTTGCATGAAGAACTACAGGAGTCTTTTTTTTTTATCTCACAGTTTGTTTTAAATTTCAATCCCTGCGTCTGCATTTTGGCCCAGTGTACAGTACATGGTGTAATCGATCATATGTTGTTCCTCTAATGAGGTAGGACTCATTTGAACGCCTGGTAACAAAGCTATTTCCTTCCATTGTTTAGATATAGCAACGTTGTTTGATATTAGGAAATATTAGGATAAGAAATAAAATCAAGCTGACAACAAAGCTTGAAATATATTAAAAATGATTTGTTCATGTTGGCTGCAAGCAACTTCCCCGCCTGTCAAGGCTAGCAGATGTGGAACAGAAAAAAAAAAAAGCAGACCTTCCTCTCTGTGGAATGTCGCCTGCATTAATTAATTTGTCTTGTCCCATTTCAAATACGATGTCTTTCCAGTTTTGATTTAGTATTGACAATAATGAAATTGCAAAAGTTGATATTACATAAAAAGATCTATTTCCCGTATCTTGCACAGCCTTGAAACTGTATATGGCACTGAGCCTGGATCCCAGGGCGTGCTGAGCTCAGTAAAAGCTGCTCGTTTCATGACTGTTTGATGACTACATGTTTCACTATTTGCCAGTTTCCGAATTTATGGTTTCCTGGATTGATAAAGAGTCTTAATTAGAGAGCTACTGTACATGTGACATTTTTTATAACAGATCTCGCAGAACCAAATATTCCACATGACTTACTGTTGAGGTGATGCTGTGGCCATTACTAGTCATCTGCACTGAGGTCAGCCGAGGAGAGTCCTCATCACCCCATGCTATAGCCCTGTTGATTTAAAAACACAAGCACATCCATGACCCAGTCGTGCTGGTTCCCGCAATAAGTCTGGATTATTCTGAAAATAGTCGCCAGATTGCATCTGCAAAGTAGACAGAGTTATTTATCTTGTTTATATTGTGGTAGCACCAAGTGGCCAAATATGTGGGATTTTAACCTAAACTAAGAGGCTGGAGCACAGCTTGAAAATGTGTGATATTTAAAAGGCAAATAGACAGTCAGCTTCTGTTTCTGCCTGTAAAAAAAACAGCCGGAAAATTTGTATTTATAATAACTGAATGCTAACACAATCTTTTAACAGTGCTCTAACACAAAGGCGATCTAAAAAAAAAAATCTTTGTTTAGTCTTCTTAGTCTATTGTTGAAAAGGGTCTATGGCAGATAAATATCTTTCAAATACAAACTATTTTGGACAATGTATCTAAAATGCAGACTTGATGCTAATTATTTCGCTGTCACCTCTTTCTTTTTTGTCTAAAACGGCAACACACAACGTGAGGAACAGAGTCTTCCATTGATTCAGTTGTAAGAGTCTTATCACCCTTAAGTACCTGTTAACCATCAGTGTCTCACCCTTTTTATGAAGGCTGTCTAGTTTTATTGCACCAGAGGCTCAGTATCAATAGCTGACAGACTGAAAGGCAACCCTGTCAACAAGACTTACTTCCTGCAGAGAAAACACCAATTGCAGTTTATCACATCCGCGTATCACCTAAGTCTCCATCCTCTGACCTACTAGGTGTTTTTGTGTGGTTTCTCTCTCTCTCTCTCTCTCTCTCTCTCTCTATATATATATATATATATATATATATATATATATATATATATATATATATATATATGTATATATGCTCTTATATAGGCTTGTAAGTGGCTCACATACCTTTACAAGAACAGAGAAATAGCTTTGCCGAGGTAGATTACTCCACATCCCTCCTATATTTAGCCTAAGATTACATTCACAGACAGTACATACCACAGTACATACCAGCTATACTTACAAGAGACAATTTTCTGAACACGCGACGACCATGTGAGGATTACGGAGTGCCTCGCTATGAATCTTCAAACACCGCCATTTTTGGTCGTTAACTTTCCACACAGATGCTTAAATGTTTTTAAATCATGTGATGCCCAGTGACAAGAAACACTTGGGTGAGGGCACAGATACAATATAATCCAGCCATAGGTGGTGCTTTTAAATTCAAATGAAAATAATTTTGTTCAAAACCAAATACAATAGTTAAAGGGCTCTTTCCTTGTCTGTGCTACAGGCCTCTACTGGGTAGTAATTTAAAAAAAGACAGAGAGAAAATAAGGGAAACAAAGGTCAAACCAAGCCAGACCCATGCTGCAAAACATGTGTTTCTAAACAAATCAAATGTAAGGAACTGTGTATGACTGTATGTGTGGCATTTGAATCAAGAATTAAGAAAGAACGAACCCTTCCTAGGTCAGCAGCTCATGTCTCTGGGATGGTTAATATGGTGATTCCTATCGAGGATCACCGACGACTGTGTCTTTCTCCATGCTTCATGAAATCTTATTGTATGGTATTAGCAACCCTCAAAGACACGGGAGACTTTCTATAAAACAGAAATGGAGATAACTGGAAAAAAAAGAAAAGTTCAAACAGTTTTTACTCGAACACATTGATGGTTGTGCATTCAGTGGAAAATGCAAAGTGGCAGAAGCGGTCTTGTCAAATTATGTGATGCATGCTGAGACTATTGGGGTGGCCCTGATCCATTAGTTATGTGTCTGTTCTCACTTGGCCTGTGATATAATTGAATAAGGATAGGGAAAAAATGCTGATTATAAACACAGGAAATAAAATTTAATTCCGTGTTTCTTCAAGAGGAATTTAGCTGAACAATGCTGCACAGATTGGAAAATCAGTCTGGTATTGTAATCACTTCCAGTTTTCAACAGAACACTGAAAAATGACTGATTATTTTTGCATCTTCAATTGTGTTTGTGCGAAACCGCAATCAGCGCCATCCTCTTGCTCGCATATGCACGTGTATGCAAAAATTATTACTTAACAACAAACAATCAACCAAAGAAAGATGAGACAAAAATCAGTTCAATCATCTACAAGAAACAAAACAAGAAAGAGAAAAGGCAGGAAGCATAGACCCGAGTGGTTGCCGAGATTTTGGTGTATGAAGTGTATCCAAGAAGGCGTGTTTTCACAACTCACCGTGTCCATTTCACATGTGACTGACACAGAGCTGAGCAGAACAAAATGAACTTTGGAGAGCAGGGGGCACGAAGAGGTTAGGTGGATTTTGTAGGTTGTTCTATCTACTTTTTATTTGCCACCTTGGTGCTACTACAGCCACCATTGAAAGTTGAACATCAGATTAGTCAAACTGACTAAATGGGAGCACTGAAAGCTACCGCACCATGATATTTGCCATACCACATTGATTTAATTGAGGTGTTTGCATGATTTGTGCTATGCATTGCTATCTGTTGACAGTTTATAACCCCCACCTGTTAAACTCTACAATATTTTTCTTCAGCATGGAAGACCTATTCAGTACAAAGGATTTGTACTTGGTGTACAAATAAAAAAAGTAAAAAAATTGCCGATGCATGGCATCCTGTTAGCTTTGCCCTAACTGGGTCACAGCCTGCACCACTTTTGCGAGTGAAATACTTGCAGAGTTTGCATGTACAGCACGAAGGCTTTCATGCATCTTTTTCTAATCCTATTTTTCTATCTAATTAGTACATCCCTTTTAGGGCTTCTTCATCAGTTGAAGTCCACCAGTCGAGTTAAACACTGCCTTCATGTTGAACTGAACAATCTAGCATGAGGAGAAGTAAAACATGGGCATTATCTCACAGAAAAGGGGAAAAATAACCTACTTAAATAAGAACTTAGTAAAATATAAGTTATATATAAGAAACTAGTTGTCCATTATGTGTTTGTTAAGAAAAAAAGTCAATATTAATATCGTGTTCTTTGGTTGTTTAATGCTGTGATGCCAATGATTCGTACTGACCAGATGCAGACAACACAGTTGTCAAGTCCATTTCAGTGACATATTTTCAATTATACCACGTAATTCCAATGAAAGGCTGAAATTTTAGCATCAGTGTGTCATGTTTGGACTGCACAGTAGTGTGGTGGTCAGCACTGTTGCATCACAACAAGAAGTGTTCCTTGTAAAAATCTGAAATTGGGACTTTCTGCTCTATACTTACAAACATTTTTTCACCATGCATGCATTGGTTCTTTCAGGGCTTCTCCCACCATCCATACAAACACATGGTCTGACATGGTGACCTGTCCGGGGTGTGAACTGCCTCTGGCCTAACAATAGCTGAGGTCAGGACCATGGCTTTGCTCTCTTAGGTGGGCTGTAATTAAAGTGCAAATACGACATTAACTTCTGGCTTTTAATCCACACTCATAGTGACGCCTGAGGGAGAGATGCACTCGTCACCAGTACACAGGAAACAATCCTTCAATAAACATCAACACATGTAGCAGTCCTTAATGGTTGTATCAATTCCTTCGTTTTCCAATCCAGCCATGCTGCTGGATTGGATGAAGAGCTAGGCAGAGTGTACAAAAGGAGTTTCCCACAGGATGGGCTGCCGAAGACGCAATGTAAGTGATGGAAAATCCCAAAGGAAGGAGCCCAAAGCCAATTTGAGTGGATGTCAGAAAAGCATTTGCTTTGTTAATGCCTTAACAGTATTTAGATAGATAGATAGATAGATAGATAGATAGATAGATAGATAGATAGATAGATAGATAGATAGATAGATAGATAGATAGATAGATAGAACCTGCAACATGAAGGTGACTAAAACAAAAACAAGTACACCCGTGTTGTAAGATTTCTGACTCATCTTAGGTGGGCTGTAATTAGAAGATGCTCACTGGCCATCTGGGACTCTTAATCTCCTAGTGAGCAGTAAAAAAAAATGTTTCCCTGCACTTTTTAAAGTTATTCGTCTTGGTGTCAGTGCCCCCTT